GAGACATATCCCTGTATTTTTTGGCTCCAAATGGCCAGAGAGGCAATAGTATCAGGAGGTTGGAGTGAGCTAACGAGCTGCCCAGAATCTGTTTTGATTCATCTGGGCAGGCAAGGGCACAAGACAAAACCCTATAACCTTAGCTGCAAGTTACTTGCTCTAACCAAAAGTCACAGGCCTGACCCCCCTCCAGCTACCTTCTTGTCCCATGAAGAATTTACAGCATCAGTAAGTACTAGGGTTGTCACAGATTACAGAGGTCTAACAAGCCAGCTCCACCAGCCACAAGGCACCATGAAAGTGCTAAAGAGGGACAATGATGCCACATTGCACCTTTTAACAGCTCTAATTATCTCAAGCCCATCTCCTGATTAACTATTAGGTTGTTTTCTGTAAAGGAAAGAAAATAATAATGCCTTTATTAAAGGATAGCTTTAAAGGTAAGTGAAGATAGCACATGTAAAGAGCACAACAGGAGTTATTGTTTTTTTTTTTTTTTTTTTTTTTTTTTGAGACAGAGCCTCAAGCTTTTATCTCAATATAAACAAATCACATGATGGTTGGGCTCTGCTGCTTCCAACTCCACTATTTCACACGATAGTCACAAAATGGTACTGTGGAGCTCCAAGTCAAGTAAAATTAACACCCAATGCTTTCACTTTTGCATCCTGGGTCCGTTTGAAGTAGCAACTTGAAGCAAAACCTGGCATAAACTTTGCTGCATACAAAATTGAGTCAACCCTTTTTCCTTTTTTTTAAACCAGACTATACAGTACCTAAGCCTTTTTCTAAAATTATGAACCTGAAACAAAACCAGAATATCAGAGTAATCTTTGAACTGAACCTGAACCAAATCAATATTTCATTCAGTTCCAATTCCTGGCTTAAAAAAAAATCCATCAACGAGGTTAGTGTGCAGACTGGATTTCATCCAATTAAAGGATCTACACTCTCTATAGTCAGCTAATCCATGGGCTATGAAAGCAGGAATATGTTCTTTTCCTTTTTTCTTAAAAAAAAAATGGATATTTTCTAACCACACAAATAATTCAGGATACACTCTCAATATAAACAACTTGAAATTCCTCCTTCATGCCTCCCTTCTAATTCTGTTCCTTCCCTGGAGACACTCACCACTAGTAAATGTCCTTCCTCTACTTGAATCATGACTATATCTCTAATTTTTCAGTTTTAGCTTCTGAAATTTGGGAACAGGGCAATCCAGTGGAGCAGGAATTCAATCTTCCAGCCTAAGCATGAAGAAGGTGAAATTCTTTTTTTGAGACAGAGCCTCAAGCTGTCCCCCTGGGTAGAGTGCCATGGCATCACGCTCACAGCAACCTCCAACTCCTGGGCTCAAGCG